GCATGAAAGACCCACGACTGGTAGGTGATCGTCCTACTACATTTCTCTTCGAAACTGTAGGAAATTATATTAGATTGAATGGATGATTTTAACTGAGCTGTCTGTTAAAGATGATGAAGTAGATTGTCCCGAAGCCTGCCTACTCTTTTGCTACACACTCCAAAGTATATACTTTTTTTACCAAAAGCGATCACATTATTCTTTTCATTGGTTCAATGGAGGACGAAGGCTCAACCCACTTAAGAGACCAATGTTTTGCTGACCTGTAAAGTTGGTAGGGAAAGCAAAAACTTGTATGATTATTTTGTCTGCATCCATTGCAAATGGGTTAGTTCTTCTAACTAAGGTTGTTTCGCCAAGTTTATAGTGTAAATGCAGATACAATACAGTATATCACCTTTAAAGTTACACTGTGTAACTCTTTTTGTTTATTCTTAGCTAAAACACTTAATATATATAAAATATATGTGCTCATTAATGTATATTTACTTCCTTCAAGTAAGAAAGTATTCTCGTGACTGTAAAATATGCCATTGAAAACATTGAGAGTCGCCAAGGAAGCGAAAAAGAGAATTAAGACGGCAAATCAACAAGACAAAAGTAAATATTGGAGTGGCCAATCCAAGATGGAAAGAGCTCATGACGAGCAACGATTTTAAGAAGGAAGCCGACGTTGCCTGCTTTCTTCTCGACAGGTAACGTTAATTAAGCCTATTTGTGTATATTGGAAGTTTTATTGTTGCTTGGCCTATCATGGTGTGCTGTGCATAACGCTAGAACGACATCTAGGATTCCTCGCGTCAATGATGAAAAGTATTGTTTACCTTGTAACATAAATCTGTGTTCTATGACGGATATCATGTGATTCATGTGTAATATTTTAATGGCGCTATAATTGGTAGCGCAATAAGTGATATGTAGGCACTTTAAATTTTAGTTATTTTTTCATTTATTTTACTTTATTCACAATTAATGTAGCCTAATGTGATAATGCAGTTGTAATGCTGAGTTCCAGGCAACCTGTAACCTGTGTTTTTACAACATGTAACTGGGAGTACATCGATATAGTACGAGTTCACGGATGGGACAGTCAAGGGTTTGACTGCCGTTCCAGTGCACTTTTACGGGTAGCCTATAAGGTTGGAAAAACACAGGTTACAGGTTGCCTGGAACGCAGCATTAGATAGCTTTTTCTAAGCGAGACTTTCACCTTCACTTTCACATCTGTCCTGTAATCTTATTAATTAAGACGAATTATTGTATGATGTAAATATTTTTCACACTATGACACCTTACTATGACTAGCCTACACTTCACTATATTGGCCACCGTAGGAGTTAAAAGGAAATCAGAATTGAGAGGATCAGAAACTAATATTCACTGCATGGTCATATAACTTTTCACTGCTAGATGGGGGTAAAAATCCCACAGTGTAGCTTTAAAAGATGTAAGCTGGTCACCACATTGAAATTGGAAGTAGTGTAAATGAGGCCAAAGATGATCAAACTAGTTGCTGAGTGTGGTCTTTCTGGTAAAGCTGGTTGACCAAGATGGTCTTGCTTAGCAATTAGATGAACATGAAATTGTGCACACAAATAATGGTTTATCCACCTTATTCCTGACGACCTTACTGTGTTTTGAATTATGGGTGGCACTTCCGGTTTGGGGAACTTCCATTCAAAAAGGCTGAAATGATTCATTTCAAATCATAAGGTTGCCCTACAAAAAAAGCTGATCTGTCAGTTTGACTGGATGAGCTGTCAATTCTCCTTAATTTATTTTCAGACATCATGAGAATAACACTATACTTGGTATTTTAACGTGACATGTTATAATAAGAATATCTATGACAAGAGCTCTTCAGTCGCTGCTTTCTTTTCCTCATGATGATTTTTATTTTTTTCACTTTGCAATCCCTTGTAAAAGTATGAAAAAGGACAACATATACGGCACAATTGTGGTCTGTTCTACAGAATTTAATTTACAATATTCCATTAATAATTCACTGGAATTTACAAAGAATCTCTCGTTATTCTCCTCAAATCCTTACGTCTCTTTCCAGGTTTGTTTTCACGGGTAAATGCAATTCATAATCTGTCAAAATGATGAAAATCACTTTGATATAGTGTCTCGTAATGCTGAACTTAATGAACGTTATTGATTAAGGCGTGTTACACAATACAGATATTTGCCTAATACAGTGATATTTAACCAAAGACTTGCGCATTTGGGGCTTTTTGGTCTGTTGAAAGTACCTTGTTGATTCTTTTACACTTTTAATTTTCATTTTAATGTTCGATGGTTGAAGGTTGAGTCGATTAATGTCATCTCATGACACTTTTTTAGCGTATTGCGTTCATAAAGCGAGTCTTCACTGATTGTTTACTACTTAACGGAAGTTACACTCATAATTCGCGCAAAGCGTCATGGGGCGTAGGAATAAGGTGCAAATGGACTGATCTGCATGTATGTGCTTAACCTGGGTGTATTGACCTTGTGCACCTTGTGTTGTGGGCCTAGTCTTTTGTTTTGTTTAGTTCCTTTTGCCCCCTTAATTGTTTCCAGGTGTCTTGTTAGTCCCATTACATCTACTGTATATGAGCCCTATTCCGCATCCAAAATCACATACTATATAGTAGGTCCTCCATTAAGTTTGAAACTTGCATTAACACTAGAACGGCCACAACGGTCATTTTGACCGTTTTGAATTGTATATCTACAATAACTTTGTTGAAAAAAATAATAAAATCCTGCTGGTACCTGACTTTTCCTAAAATTGTCTGTATTTTCATTTAAAATGATTTTCATATGAATTAAGTTACGTAAACGTAAGGCAAAACAAAACAAATGAACATATTTACCTATTTCGGCCATAGACGGTCATATTGACCGCACTGAATTTCGCAATATTTTTTTTGTCAAATATCCCGCGGTTGATCGTGGTCTCTCTCTCAACTGTCAACAGTCCGTCCGGTCACCTCCGTAGCGGTGTTTGCTTTATAATAATTTCTACATTAGTTGTTGACCAGAAATAAGCAAACAAAACCAGACTACAGTTATCAATACTTACGTTATAGGCTATATATCATCAGAGAGTGATTCAGAGTCAGAGTTCACATCAAGGAAAAAGAGACGGCTGCTATCATCAAACACGGCGGATCCAGATGTTCAATTCATATCGGATGATCCTGGTGAGCTCTGCTGCCCTGTCCTGCGCTGTTTGTTTTGCTGCATGGGCTGTTCACTAACAGTTCTGCTAGTCCTATTATTATTATTAGCCTATTGACCGCTTCTCATTTTCGTCATAGTTTGTCATTCAAACCTAGTTTTTATTTAGTTATCGTCTCGTTTCCGTCTTTGAAAGAATGTGGTTGACGAAAATAATTACGAAAATTATTCGTCAAAGAAATAAACACTGTTTTGAATCTAACGGTCAAAATGACCGTTTGTGGCCATTCAAGTAGTTTTGGAATTCTGGCACTTCTAGTGTTAAGACTCTTAAAAAAGTAGGCTATATTCTATATGAATGTGTAGTATGAATGTGTGTAGTACGAATGAAATTCAGATGAACCATGTTCACAACGTTCATTGACATGTGTGATCTATGGTGTCAGTTGTCAGCCTTTAACAAATCTTCTCCTGTGTCCTCATGGGATAGTAAAGTTTCCATCGAATGCACATTTCAAAATCTCACTGAAAAGTATTAGGTCATCAGGCGACTTTTCACCTACTGTTTTTCCAGTATTTATTCGGACACTATTCTGTTGGCATACTGTTTTTTGCATCGCCTACTTCGAATTCGAATCAAATTCGATTTCGGTCGCAGATCTCGTGTTTCCACTCCTCAATGTTGGGTCTTGTCTTCACATCATTGGATGTCCATGCTGTGTTTTACACTGGTTGCTTTTTCATTGCTAAAAAAAAACAACAAACAAAAAAAAAAAACATTTAACCACATGTGATGTGCACTCTGATTATGCTACAGAGTAAAGTCCCCCAATTTGTGGTTTGAGAAAAGAAGCAGACCGCCATGATCTATAAAAATAAAAATCAAGAAATGCATCAACCAGAGTTAAAAGTAAAGCAAAGTGCAATTTGTCAAAGATAAATTATGCAATCAAAACACCTGTTTCAAATACACACGACATCCTCTAATATAACTCTAATATTTTATAAATACTTATACAACATTAGTAAACATGTATTAACTATCATAAACTAAAAATGAGCAATACATTTGTTATATTTCAGCCCATTCTCACTCCCAAGGCGTCACCTAACTGACGCCTTGGGAAGCATTTGGACATGCTTCAATATCTGACGCTTTAGGCGCCCTTTAGCATCAGTTAGATGACGCCCTAGGATCGCGTGTACCCTACCCCCACCCCACACCTAAACCTAACCGCGTCCTCTAACTGACGCTTTCCTTTAGCGTCAGTTAGATGACGCCGTAGGATCGCGTCATGTAAGTGACGCTAAAGGGCGCCTAAAACGTCAAATATTGAAGCATGGTCAAAGGTGACGCCTTGGGGTGAGAATGCGTTGTATATTTATGAATCTATGTTAATGTTAGTTAATAAAAAATACAGCTGTTAATTGTTCATGATAGCTTACAGTGCATTAAATGCAACCTTTGATTTTATTATTATATTAGAAAGTCAATTTAAATTGCTGAACTATTATTAAATGCTGAACTATTGTTCATTCTTAGTTCATGTTTACTAAGGTTGTTAACTAATGAACCTTATTGTAAAGTGTTACCAATATTGTTTTCGTGTTGTATCTGAATTGTACACATTTACAGCATCAGTTTATCTGACATTTTGTTATACCTTCAAGCAATTAAACGTAATGTGACCATACTGTCCTCCTGACTAATAAAAACCTTAACCAGTAGTCTGGTTCGTTTTCTGCCTGTGGTGGCATGAGAGTGGAGCTGTTTTAGTGGGTGGTGTTCCATGTGCCCTAGTTCAGAGCTTAAATTTCTTGAGAGTCACATCACAGGTGACTACCAAGCTGGAATATGAAGTCGCATATGTTGGGTTTCAGTGCAGTTCTGCTGCTGTTGCTTCTGGTCTCGTCCTCAGTGCAAGGTGGGTTTCACACATTCTTAGAAAAATTCAGAAAGTCGTTTGTGTTGCTACTGAATTCATTACTGCTAATGAATATGCTAATGGGAATTGTATTTTGTAATGTCTTTCGTTTAGTGGTAGTTTACTTTTGAAATGAATGTCCTGCTTTTGTCTCCAATAGATCCTGTTATTCGTTCGAGCTGTCTAACTACTACAAATACTAGAATTCCTTTTAAGAATCTAGTTGGCTACAACATCCAGAACAAACCCTTGTTCCCTGTAATTGCTGTGAGGTGAGAATCCATTTAGATTTCTACAGAATTATTTTGTATTATTAACACTCAAGAAATAATGAAAGCTTGATTTTATGTGACTGGAAATATTGTCATAATAGCTGTTCTGTTCCATTGTGTAGATTTCTTACAATCAAAGGGTTCACAATCTGCTCGGATCCCTCCTCACCATGGGCCATAAAAGCAATGAAGTACCTGGACGCAAAGAAGAAACATCAGTCAGCCATAAAGTACAGCTCGTCAATCTGTGACAACGGCTCCTCAGAAAATGCCAATAAATACAAAATCATCTCAGTTTGAAATAAAATAATTTACTAATATATGACCTTGTCTGTAATAGAAGAACTGAGACTACAAAGTTCAAGAATATATTGTGCACAATCGTGAATTAATAATTATAATGAAGACTTTTTGGATTGATTACTGTATTCTAAAGATATTTAAAAACTTTTGTCAAACGTTTTATTCTAAAGAATAATGTGTAAATTTGCTTATTTACAGCTCTACAACTCGAGTATGCTCTACTTCAGAGAAGCAGGTTTACAATTACACACAGAACTTAACAGAGATATGGAACACAACACCCACGGATACAGGAAACAAGACAGAATGTCATATCCCAGTAACCAAACTGGAGCAGGATTGGAGAGGATCTAATGAAACCACAGAGACATTTCAGCCGGTTGGGCTATCACAGGAGGAAGAGGGATCAACCATTATGAACAACTCATTACAATTGCAGAAGAAAAATGAGCAGGTTAAATACTCAGACTCTTACTTTTGTTTGAAAGAGGAGCTGGTTAAATACTCAGGCTCTAAATTTTGTTTGAAAAAGGAGTAGGTTAACTCAGGTTACTCAGGCTCTCAGTTTTGTATATATATCTTTGTGAGGATTTATGAGCACCACCACACCTAACAACATTGTCAAGTAAAGCCATATTTATTTAAATAGTGCTTTATACAATACAGATTGTTTCAAATCAGCTTCACAGTAATAGAAAATGTTGTGAATGTGTTAATAGGATCATGTGTTTTTGACAAAAGTTCTTCTATTAAAAAAACTATTTTACTTCTGTGCCATCTGTTGTGACACTTTCCCACCTGCAGAGCCAGAGAACTATGGACTGTAGTCTCAGACCGGAAGTAAGGACACAGTTGACAAATGCCAAAACTTCCATGAGACTACTACTTCTGGCCTGACACTGCTGGCCTGGTGCTGTGGTTTGCAGCCCTTTGGTGTTTGCTAGTGTGTCTCGCTGCTTCTTTGGGGACTTGCTATTTAATGGCAATGTCCTGTGCGAACAACCCCTAAACTTAAAATCTCATGCACAGTTATAGTTTGACTCATACATTCCAAAAGACTTGGATCAGTGGAGCTGTGCACACAGTCCAGCTTGTGAAAATCGATCAACCGCATCCTTGGCGTCTTTTGACATAATATCTAAGATGGTGGCAACTAATGGACATACTGAATTAAAATTATTTTTTAAATTATACTCATCTGGTAATCAAAAGTGACTGGGAAGGTCATGGAGAAAGAATGGGAAATTAGTTATTTATTTTGTAGTTGTTCCTGTGTGGATGAGGTTGTTGTGTCTGAGTGGTGTTTACATTATCGTTGTGTGATGCGTCAACCACATGTCCATTCAGGTGCTGTCCAAGTGAAGTCCTGCATTCATACTGTATCCAGGTGTCTGTGCACCATTCAGGTTGAGTGGATTGGCACACACTGCAGAAGGATGATGGGGGGAGTAGTAGATATTGTCCTTTTAGCACTCTTGAACCTCTCAAACTTGTTTGGGTGGTGGCCATCCTGTTGGAACAGTCACCTCTGATTCCAGAAAAGATTGAAGTTGACTTGTTTTATATTGCAGGTTTTTTGCAGCCATGTATTAAGTCCAAGCACCCGTGAAAATGCTCAGGTGTTGCTCGTGGAAGGCTGCACGTACAGTAGTTGTATCCATGCTACTAATTTTTCTGACTATGAAGTCACCCACTATCAGAGTCCTGGGCCCAGCTGCGTTCTTAGCTGCCACTGTCTGCTCGACTTTGAGCCCCATTTAGCATCAGTGTTAGCTACAGGAAGCCTCAGTCTGTGTTCAATCACAGTCATCAAATTCAGGGATTCCTCATTCATTAATACTTCAAATCTGTTCTCAAGATGTATAGGTGGTGGTAGGAGACCAGTGTTTGCAATCCTTTTGGAGCCGGATCTGGGGTAGATGATGTTACTGTGGAAATATCTGTTGCTTATGACAATCTGATGTCTCAAGTGCCTTTGGGTCTCACTCCCTGTTTGTGCCATCGATTTGTAAGTCGATCGGCTTGTTTCTCAGTATCTCTACACTCGGTATAGCCAGTCGAGGAGCACTATTCATGGGACTCACTGGCTGTATGCTGAGAGCGTCCATGACGAAGCTCTGTTGTGTGTTCCGTCTGGTTTGGTGGTCCCGCAATTAACTTTGTTTCAAGAACTGCAATCTTTTGTAAAAGTCTGTGGTAGTTAGAGCAGCAAGTCGATTCCAGAAGAGGCGGAGCAGTAAGCAAGAGCGTCTGAACAGTAGCTGAGCATGAAGAATGTGTAGCAGAGGTTGAAAGCTGCGATTTTTAAATAATTATCAAATAATATATTTCGAATCAATCTTCGAATATTATCTTTGCTTGAAAATTTTGTTTTGTATGAATTGTATCTTCCTTTTAATCGATGTTTCATCGAACATTGACACGGAGGCGCTGCCACGTGAACTGGAGCGCGTAAATGAACTCAGCGTATAAAATACTTGTATATCCATAGGAAGTTTGAAATGTGTACTTTTAAACAAAACAATTAAAAACTAAAAGAAATTGTCTACTCTCTGTTTATGCGGCTAATTCATCGGGTATGTGATTTTTCCGGATTATTCAGGTTTTTTCAACCTGAAAATGTGAACTACATGATTTCCACGTATGTGCTCGGCCGATGTGCGAGTGTTTATAGGTCTATATTCATGGAAGTTTATATATTTATGTGAGTATGTATAGGTGTATGCATGCGTCAAGTAACATAATATGTATTGGTACGGATTTCATATTAGTGTGCATGTGTATTTCATATATGTATTTTGAACATCAACTAGTATACATGTATATGCAAGTAATTTACAGGTGTATATGCACATGTGTTATGTAGGTATTGTCACGGGTCAGGGTGTGTCACCAGTTCCTCGCTGTTGTTTGTTTTGGTCCTGTCTTTTGCTGCAGTATGTTAGGGTGACAATTAGCACAATCGTGAGCTGATCTTCAATTAGCACTATCATGAGCTGATCTTCCTCACCTGTCGCTCGTTTCTCTACCCTTTATATACCCAGCTGTGTCTACCAGTGTTTGTCAGTGGATTGTTTTATGTTGCGTGTGCTGGTCTGGCCTGTTTGTGTTTGCTGTGCTACTTACCAGTGATCTGTGTTCAGGATTCCTAGACGTGTGGATCGGTGCAGGACTGTGCATCTGCTAGTTCACGTCCTCGTCAGTTGCTGTGCATTCCTGGACTCTCTGTTCTGACGGTGGTCTCTGCTTCTCTTCACGTCTGCAGTATTGCAGGCTCACCGGAACTACTGATCGGAGAGGCTTCACTGGTCCGGAGGAGGTCAGTGGATTCTGTCGTGAACCCTGGAGTTTAGAGATGAGGAGGACTCAAATGCAGTGAGGAGTAGTGAAAAGTTTATCTAGAAAACTTTGGGAACAATTAATTCCGTGACACAGTGAATAATAGTGAAGCCTCTCCGATCAGTAGTTCCGGTGAGCCTGCAATACTGCAGACGTGAAGAGAAGCAGAGACCACCGTCAGAACAGAGAGTCCAGGAATGCACAGCAACTGACGAGGACGTGAACTAGCAGATGCACAGTCCTGCACCGATCCACACGTCTAGGAATCCTGAACACAGATCACTGGTAAGTAGCACAGCAAACACAAACAGGCCAGACCAGCACACGCAACATAAAACAATCCACTGACAAACACTGGTAGACACAGCTGGGTATATAAAGGGTAGAGAAACGAGCGACAGGTGAGGAAGATCAGCTCATGATAGTGCTAATTGAAGATCAGCTCACGATTGTGCTAATTGTCACCCTAACATACTGCAGCAAAAGACAGGACCAAAACAAACAACAGCGAGGAACTGGTGACACACCCTGACCCGTGACAGGTATTGATAAGCGAAGTTTGATTTAAATCCTCCGTGGCGCCTCATAGGATATTGCCCGCCCACTTATTGCACGCACAGACACCAGGGACAACTTGAACCTCAGACACTGCAGCTGATTCCTGTGGATACTGTACAGCATCATGTCGAGAAGACGCTGTAGTCTATAATGAAGGTAAAGCCAGTTTTTTTTTTCACTGCCCAGGACGAGCATGTGAATAATCAGTGGTTGAAATTAATTTATTGTACATTGCAATAACATAGCAGAATAATCCTAAACTTGCTGTGTTTTCTTTATTTCCTTTATTTTTCATTTATATTAGATATTCCTGTCAATGCGAGTCATACCTAATTGAATGGCGAATGACGTGGTGAACCAACTGCGATCACATGACTCTTTTCAATGGTGCAATGGAGGGTGAAGGCTCAACCCACTTAAGAGACCAATGTTTTGCTGACCTGTAAAGTTGGTACGGAAAGCAAAAACTTGTGTGATTATTTTGTCTGTGTCCATTGCAAATGGGTTAGTTCATCTAACTAAGGTGGTTTTGCCAAGTTTATAGTGTAAATGCAGATAAAATACTGTAATTCCAATTTCAAAGTGTACAATGACGACCAGCTTACATCTTTTAAAGGTGATATAGAGTAAATTAGGCCAAAGATGATCAAACTAGTTGCCAAGTGTGGTCTTTCTGGTAAAGCTGGTTGACCAAGATGGTCTTGCTTAGCAATTAGATGAACATGAAATTGTGCACAAAAATAATGGTCTTTATAGAATTGGACTGACATGCACAAAGTGCTTAACCTGACCTTGTGCACCTTGTATTGTGGGACTATCTTGCTGGACTGTGCTGCTGTAATGTTACCTTAATCATGTTCTTTTCTACCGTGGGTCACCTAACTTGGATCACAACACTGAGAGTACTAACGTTATAGCCTCCACTTGTTCTTCACGTGCACACAGTAAAATTTAAAACTGTTTAAAGAGAAGGCTTAATAAACTTTTGCATAGATAGATACTACAGTGTTGGGACTAACGCATTACAAAAGTAATACATTACAGTAACATATTACTTTTTGCTGTAACGCAGTAGTGTAAGGCATTACTAATCAATTTTCAGTAATATTTTACTCGTTACATGTTCAGTGAGGCTTGTATTACAGTTGTATTACAGTGTATTGTCTGCTTTTACTTCTTAAAGGCAACAGACTATGTGAAAGTTTTAAAGCAGTCTTTTAGTGCCAGTTCAGAGCGGTCGCGTCTGTAACATTGTTTTTTCCTCATAAACGAACACGAAAACTAAAATAAAATGAATATTTTAAGTTCTATCGAGACTGGAGAGCCAACCCTTCCTCATCCGATTTGCGCAGTGTAATTAACAGAATTACAAAAAATATATTTTACCTCCTATTTTTTTTGTCACGCATGAATGTGTGTCTTTTCCCTAATAATAAAAATAAAACATAGACTGATATTTGTCTAATGTCTGGAGTCCTTTAAGGAAATAGCCTATATATGTTTCAATACATGAATTTTCTGAGAATTTTTATTTCAAGTTTTGACTGCAAATGTCATGTCCATAATGCTGGACTTCCCCAATTTTAAATAATTTATCCTCAACTAGTTTTGTGGTGTAGGTCTACGTATTTTATAATGTTAACTTCAAATAATACTAATAGCCTAATTTAAAGATAAGGCAGCATTGGATATGGACGGTAAGGAGAATAACGCTGGAGTTGGAAGAGGTGTGTCGCAATTCTGTAGATTCATGGATGTGGCGAATCGCGATTTCGGTTTCATATTGCATATCGTTACAGCCCCAAAGTTAAGTTCTACTTAGTTATTTTGGTGAAAGTAACTCAAAAGTAATACATGAGTAATGTAACGCATTACAATTCTGGGACAGTAATATTGTAAGGTAATGAATTACTTTTAAATAACAGTAACAAGTAATACCTAATGTATTACAGTTTGGAAGTAACTTGCACAACACTGGTCAATATGCATCAATATGTCTTTCTCTTTCCTTTGTGCTTTTAACTTTTCGATGCGGCGGACTCGAAGTAGAGCTGTGACGCGTGTGGCTTCAAGCGCATCATTCTGCGCTCGGGATGCGCATGAGCGGTTTGTGCCGCACTGTATAAGGCATTTCAGACTGTTTGTAAACAATAGGCACCGCGATACTTCCGGGTGGCAGAACGCGAACGGCTTCTACTGACTAACTGAAGAGATCCAGCCGGCTATGCAACAGTTACCTAGTTAAACACATTGTTGTTGATCAAAGTTGAATCGATGATGAAAACGTCTTGTGTTTGGGGTTGCTCTGCCAGATTTACAGCAAAAGGTGTAGGGGTTGTATCGATTTCTTGTGGGTGAAAAGGTTATAGCGAGTGAACGTTGTGTCGTCAAAAGTAGGAAATCTTATGAATCATATGATTCATCCAATGTTTACATTTCTGCTGCCAACCCTTTCAACTCTGCTTTGTCTATTCTCAAAACGGTCCATCTCCAAAATCATAGCAGAGCATTTATCTTCAGCCAGGACTATCATTCGAGACTAATATTAGTAAACTTGTCTCTTTTGAAGATCAGAATCATTGCCAGTCACTTCCTGAAGTAAAAGATAGCTGCCGACTCTCACGCATTGACGCATTGACACTCGCGCATTTGTCACTTTTCACACGCTCTCACGGCACACATTCATTTTCTCATGCAACTTACCGAAATGTATATTCCTCATATGTAATATTGACCAATCAGTGTTTTTCAACCGCACAAACAGGTTAATATAATAGCCGGGGAGCAATTGTCACATAACATTTACCTCAGGAAAGCAATGACCATGATAGGCTGTATAGCATGTTATGTTGGCAAGAAAAATGAGCTAGAGAGTATTTTACTAATAGGTGTAGGCCCACTATATTACATATTTATTATATTTTTTTGCTTATATCATTAAAAACAGTTATGATGAAAAACGCATTGTATTTAATTTTTCTATTTTTTTAAATGTATTACATTTTGCCACTCGGAAGAACGTATATTACTGTTGTGACGTCATGGTGAATTGTCGTATTGGAGTCTTTCATAATTATATCAAAATACTTTTGCACGATGAATGATTATTAATAGCCTTTTTTTGTTCTGTCCTATCGATGGTGCTGCCTCATTAAACAGCTGTGCTATATATTTAATAAATGTCTTAATTTTACAGTAGACTATATATATATATATATATATATATATATATATATATATATATATATATATATATATATATATATATATATATATATATATATATATATATATATATATATACACTAAATAATGAGTTTTTTTAATGTTCTGATTTTATACAGTTATTGTGCACTTGTGATTTTTCTAGACTAAATTTTACTGCTGAGTTACCCACTAATCTAGTTTATAAAATATTTTATGATCATATAGGCCTATATATACATGATTTGTTGTTTTTCTTTATAATGAAGTTGTCTGTGTTAAGTAGATTGTGTTTAACACAAAAACAAGGGATTATCAGTTCAACAAACAGAGTTATAGAAATTATACTTGGTCTCTCAGTATTTTCCTGTTTTATTTTTTTTGTCCTTAGCCAATCACATGCCTGAGTTATGAGAGTCTCAGTCTACATTATATTATCAATGGTGTTTTAGGATGCCAAAATTATTATAATAATGTAATAATGATTTATATAATTATTCATATGACGCAAAATCCATATAGCCTATAAATGTACTATATACATGAAAATGAATATTAGTCCTAATTTCTTCACTTGCAAGCAATAAACCCTTGAGCTTTTATTTAGAAGAAAACACCATATAATCATGCTGATCGCGTGAGCAAAGTGCACACTTTTCTTTAAATCCCCCAGCACAAACAGGATGCCTATTCTTGTACTGTTTTATGAAGGCGCAAAGCCATTTCATGGTTTCTATTTTAATTTGTTGGCAAAATATAATGCTAGAGACTTTTATGTTAGGTTATAGGCTACATTTTACATCTCATATCTGTTGGGAAAAGGGAGAAGATAGTTCGGCAAAAGGCGAATTCGAACTCGGGTCGGGCGCATCAAAAGCTGCTTTCCGGGGAAACTCCCGAGTCCCAACTCTACCGATTGCCACTCCGCCTGTGGTGCCCGGCGCCCCTTAGATGTCCAACGCATTCTCATCCTTTAGCGTCATATAGAGCGCTATATGACAAACGGCGCTATACTACGCACATGGCACCCGTTATCGTTAATATAACACGCGCTGTGATGGGTAGGTTTAGGTGTGGGGTAGGGTAGGGTAGTCTCATATTACGCTAAAGGATTTATGACGGCTTGGGTTCGCGTGTTTTATTAACGATAAAGGGTGCCATGTGCGTAGTATAGCGCCGTTTTGTCATATAGCGTTCTATGTGACGCTGAAGGATGAGAACGGGCTGAGATGTCGTGGGCCCTGGCAAGTGCCAAGTTGCCCTAATGGTTAATCTGGCCCTGGCCTCATGGGATAGTAAAGTGTCCATTGAATGCAAATTTCAAAATCTCACTAGAAGTATTAGGTCATCCGGGGACTTTTCATCTTCTGTTTTTTCCAGTACTATTTATTATGTACTATTCTGTTGGCATACTGTTTTTTTGCATAGCCTACTGTAGGGAAGTATTCGATTTCGGACACAGATCTTGTGTTTCCACTACTTAATGTTGGGTCTTGTCTTCACATCACTGGATGTTCATGCTCTGTTTTACACTGGGTACTTTCTCATTGCAAAAAAAACAAACATTCAACCACAAGGATGTGATGTGCACTCTGATTATGCTACGTAGTAAAGTCCCCCAATTTTTGGTTTGAGAAAAGAAGCAGACCGCCATGACCTATAAAAAATAAAAAGCACAAAAATGCATCAACCAGAGTTAAAAGTAAAGCAAAGAGCCATTTGCCAAAGATGAATTATGCAATCAAAACACCTGTTTCAAATACACAAGATATCCTCTAATCCAACTCTAATACTTTATAAATACTTAAACATTGTAGTAACACTAATTTTAACTAACATGAACTAACAATGAGCAATACATTTGTTACATTTGAGCAGTACATTTGTTATATTTATGAATCTATGTTAATGTTAGTTAACAAAAATAATTGTGATTGTGTTAATTGATCATATTAGCTTACAGTGCCTTAATTTTAACAAATGTAACCTTTGATTTTATGAACGTATTAGTAAATGTTGAAATTAATATTAACTAAGATTAATAAATGTTGAACTATATTGTTCATTCTTAGTTCACGTTTAGGCCTACTAAGGTTGTTAATAATGAACCTTATTGTTAAGTGTTACCAATATTGTTTTCGTGTTCTGAATCGTACACATTTACAGCATCAGTTTACCTGACATTTTGTTATACCTTCAAGCAATTAAACGTAATGTGACCATACTGTCCTGACTAATAAAAACCTTAACCAGTAGTCTGGGTAGAGGTTTAAGTATGACCCTTCGTTTTCTGTGGTGTCGTGAGAGTGGAGCTGTTTTAGTGGGTGGTGTTCCATGTGCCCTAGTTCTGAGCTTAAATAGACTGCGCCTTTCTTGAGGTTCACATCACAGGTGACTACCAAGCTGGAATATGAAGTCGCATATGTTGGGTTTCAGTGCAGTTCTGCTGCTGTTACTTCTGGTCTCATCCTCAGTGCAAGGTGGGTTTCACACATTCTTAGCAATATTCAGAATATTCGTCTTTTGTGTTGCTACTGAATTCATTTCTGCTGATGAATATGCTGATGATATTTGTATTTTGTAAGGTCTTTCGTTTAGTGGTAGTTTACATTTAAAATGAATGTCCTGCTTTTGTCTCCAATAGATCCTGTTATTCGTTTGAGCTGTCTAACTACTACAAATACTAGAATTCCTATGAAAAATCTAGTTGGCTACAACATCCAGAACAAACCCTTGTTCCCTGTAATTGCTGTGAGGTGAGAATCCATTTAGATTTCTACAGAATTATTTTGTATTATTAAGACTAAAGGGATAATAAAAGCTTGTATTATTGTCATAATTTTCATATATATATAGTCATAATAGCTGTTCTGTTTCATTTTGTAGATTTCTTACAATCAAAGGGTTCACAATCTGTTCGGATCCCTCCTCACAATGGGCTATAAAAGCAATGAAGTACCTGGACGCAAAGAAGAAACCCCAGTCAGCATCAAGTACAGCTCGTCATTCTGTGACAGTGGCTCCTGAGAATACACAAACCACAAATATGACTCGGTTATTGGCTCAAAATTATACTAGCTAGTTACTGCAATAACTGGCTATTATAATTTTGCAGTTTTTAAAGGGTTTTCTCTTTTGCGATAACATGCACTTTATTTTACATCACACACTATAAGTTGTGATGTTTTTTAATTTCAATTTTTCTTACAAAAAAGATTGTACTTTCATATTTTATACTATCTATTAATATCTATATTTTTTTATTTTTCAAACAAAAGTTTTTGGATGTGATTATGTATTTTTATCTATAGATTATGTTGTAAAATATATTAAAATCCTTTGTGCCAGACTATTTTGAACTGCTTGTATTTAATTCCTGTAGACTGAAGCGTTAAATCTAAATGTGTGCGGCATCAAATGTAGACAAGTTATTGTTTAGAAAAAAGATGGAACCTTGTCTGTTTATTTAAAGTAAACTCAAATGTTATTCATTAAAATAGTCTTTTCATTACATTTTTTCATTATCAATAAAATTGTTATTATTTATTCGTTTTTATTTATTTTTTTTCAAAACCATTCATATGGTAAAGTAGTTTAACCACTAGTGAGCAATGACACATCTCAAGCGCAAATCCAGATGTTTCTGACTAAATTCTAACATACAATGTAGGAAGCACTGAATATGTGAAAACCCCTTAGACATCAAACTGAACTTTTAGGGTAAACAATATAATGTAAATATACAAGTAAAATACAGTGTCTATTTATACACATGGTGTATAAGCGTATTTTTCAAGAGTGCAAAATAGCCAACCGGACAAAGGCTATTTTGACTAATTCCATTCCACCCATTTTTAATATTTTAACTTTAGTAAAAAATAGCACATTACTTTTATTTATGTGAATATACATTTATCACTAGTTGTTTTTAGAGTTGAAAAACAATGATATTGTTTTTGCTTGGTGCAAAAAGTATCAACCTTTTTTTTTAAAGCCCTAGAAATAGCATCTACATTTTTACACTGTGATCGTAATTGGTTGCTGCCTTAATTCTTAGTTTCAAATGTATATACAGGTATAAGTAGGCCTAAATATGATTTGTACTTTTTTATATTTGGAAAAAGGGGATAGAACTAATTTGGAATATTCTCACTGCTGTAATAAGTAATTCATTTTTAGGCACTTTCATTGTTTTTTTATACACCACTTCCCCAATTCTGAAGAATAGCAAATGTCCTCATTTCTCTCCTGTGGTTAATTTGGTAAGTCATCACCTTACACCTCCTTGTGGTTTTCCAGCTGTGTTAAATGGTAAGGAGACAACTTTCTATCAAGTGTCGGTTAACACCCATAAAGGGTACAGAATCAAGTGAATGATGAATTATGAGGGATGTATAGTAGAGTTATTTGAGTTATTCAAGTTGAGCAACAGAAAAAACTCACCAAGAATAACGCTATAGACATTCCATTCTACCATCACAACTATTTTACATTTTGGCAAATTGGTGGCTTTGAATTTCTATGATCTCATTCACTTTTTTTCCGTACGATATGTTTGCGGGCCAGTAGTGGTTAGGTTTGGGGGCAGGGTTGGGGAGGAACCTTCATGCTTACCTTTTTCTAAAAATCATAAATTTGAATATTTCATCACATAGTACAAATCCATATGAAATCGCCCCCTTGTAAAATACTTAAATTGTCCGATGGGGTGAAGACATCTTGGATAACTGATAACCTTGTCAGTAATAACATCTGCATTTATTCATTTAGATGAAGCCTATACCAAACGAATAACAAATGATAAATATTATAAGCAATTTGTCACACCTTATTAATGAACAAACAAAGACGGGTACAAACTAGATGACATGATGGAAAGTGCCGTATGTGTAGCCCAATATGATGCTTCAAAATGTCAGAAATCAAAGTCACAATGCTTTCCATATTTGTCATGTAGGGTGTAAGAAAGCGTTGCAGCCGAAAGCCTCACTGTGAGAGCTCAGTTTGTGGGTTAATAGTAGGAGATGAGCTTGTAGATCAAACTGTGGGAGGAAGAACCTGCTAATACACAGAGCTAGCATTGGTTTAGGAGGGGAGGGGGGGAATACCCCATAGGCTCTATGCATGTTATTTCCAAGACATGTGCTTTAGCATTCTCTTTTAACTAAGCATGATAATCATAATTATGTGACACGTAATTTGTTCTATTTATTGACTTTGTGTTAATCATAGGATTTTAATTTTGAAGGTGATAGACATGAATAGATTTTCGACGGATGCTGTATGTGTGATGATGACACTGTACTTCCTGTGATGTGTAGATAAGCCCAAGCGCAGTTTCATATATGCAGTTGTAGCTGGTTTAAAGTGACTGTGAATGTGTACATGTGGCTTATTGATGGAGGAGCTGTTTGACATATTTGCATGTGGTTTGTCTTTCACACCTCTCATTTTCCTTTCTTGTTGTTGGTCAGCTCTTTAGTCATATTTTATTGACAGTAATGGAACATATTATTATTTGATTTTTTTTTTTTTTTTTTTTTTTTTTTTTAAGACATGCAGAACCCACTGATTATTTTAAACACTTGAAATAATCAGTGCGGGTTCTGCATATCTAAAAAAAAACACACAAAAAAACAAAACTTAATAGATACAACATTGAGCCCAGTGGGTGGTGGAATGGATTGAAAGGTATTGTTTCAGGCAATATACCTGTATATATATATATATATATACAGCCCATTCTCACCCCCAAGGCGTCACCTAACTGACGCTTTGGGAAGCATTTGGACATGCTTCAATATCTGACGCTTTAGGCGCCCTTTAGCGTCAGTTAGATGACGCCCTAGGATCGCGTGTACCCTACCCCCACCCCACACCTAAACCTAACCGCGTCCTCTAACTGACGCTTTCCTTTAGCGTCAGTTAGATGACGCCGTAGGATCGCGTCATGTAAGTGACGCTAAAGGGCGCCTAAAACGTCAAATATTGAAGCATGGTCAAAGGTGACGCCTTGGGGTGAGAATGCGTTGATATTTATATATATATATATTCTCACTTTTTGACCATGCTTTAATATCTGACGCTTTAGGCGCCCTTTTTAGCGTTAGTTAGATGACGCCCTAGGATCGCGTGTAACCCTACCCCCACTAAACCTAACCGCGTCATCTACCTGACGTTTTTTAGGCGCCCTTTAACGTCAGTTACCTGACGCGATCCTACGGCGTCATCTAACTGACGCTAAAGGGCGCCTAAAATGTCAAATATTGAAGCATGGTCAAAGGTGACGCCTTGGGGTGAGAATGCGTTGGAATGCATTGATATAACATGCTTTAAGCAGAGCATGTAGAGTAAAAGGACAAACAATCAATAAATCATGCACAATAAGGCCTAGAACTTGCATTTAAATTTACTCTACCACTCAAAAGTTTGACACTAAGACCATTAAAAAAAAAAAAAGAAATGTATATGAAGAGTTCAGATGCAAAAGCCTCTAAATGCCATTTGAAATTTTCTTCTAAAATGACAATTTTTATCAAGCTTGTATATTTACAGCCCATTCTCACCCCCAAGGTGTCACTTAACTGACGCCTTGGGAAGCATTTGGACATGCTTCAATATATCTGACGCTTTAGGAGCCCTTTAGCGTCAGTAAGATGACGGCCTAGGATCGCGTGTACCCTACCCCCACCCCACACCTAAACCTAACCGTGTCCTCTAACTGACGCTTTCCTTTAGCGTCAGTTAGATGACGCCGTAGGATCGCGTCATGTAAGTGGCGTCATGTAAAGGGCGCCTAAAGCGTCAAATATTGAAGCATGGTCAAAGGTGACGCCTTGGGGTGAGAATGCGTTGATATTTAAGTTCAGTAATTTCACTTAAATTACAATTAATAGGTAATCTTCATAGCCATTTAAGTGAAATTACTGAACTGAAATATACAAAATAATTTTAATTTTAATAAAAATTATCATTTTAGAAGAAAATTTCAAATGGCACTTAGAGGCTTTTGCATCTGAACTCTTCATATGTTTATTCAACACATATGCATTCCATCCATCAATAGTTGTAAAGTTGTACTCCTGCCACTTTTTTTAGAAACGTTACAGGAGTTCATAGCTCGTCAAAATACCATCAATTGTACATAAACAAGCACATTTAGTCTAGCACACAGCATTGTTTTGAATGTTCATTAAATTCTGTTGCAAAATAAAAATGACAATGTGAACGCTAAGCAAACCAGGACTAATTGCATTATCTTCTTTTTTTTCCCTAACGAACAGAACTAAAAGAACCAAGAAAACCGAACTACAAAGTGAACACAAGACAAAAATGGTTATTTTAAGAATGTTTACTATAAGGTTTTTGGGAAAGTCAAATGGATCTTCTATGGCATTGCTACAAAAAAACACATTTTGGTATTTTAATAGTAAAGAGATTAGTCAATAGGTACGGTGACTAGCGAAATTTTGCAGAAAAAGTTCCATTGTCAATTGTCAATGATGTAGCAAAATGATGCACAGTTTTTGCAGAAGTCACAGAAGCAGCTTTCTGTTGGTCAACGCAGCAAATTTGTGTGACCAATTTAAACACGAGTGAAATCTGTGTGTGGGACATTTTTGCCTTCATGCAAAACTCTCTGGGCCAGTTGTTGAAAGGTAAGCTGATCGGATTTTGGTTATCGGATTGGATCAAATCTTGAAAATGGGTTGTTCAAAAGGGAAAGAAGGAATCTGAAATCAGATTAGATCAGGGAATCCAATCATATTTTTAATCTGGATCAAACCTTCAGTTTGTGTTGTTCAAAACTTGTCAGTAGGATTTGGATAACTTTGATCCAAGAAAACAGGATTATCCTGATCCCAACAGCCAGGGGGTAGGATTTCAAGGTGGATTTCAGGAATAAAATGTAGTAAAACTTTAAAATTGTTCAAATAATACATTTGTATCATTTAGTGTATATACTTTTATTTATATTTTGTACTTGACTTGTGTAACCATTGTAACAGTGATAAAGTACTGTAGACATAGGCTAACAATTAAGCTATTCAGTATAGTAAAGTAACAATAAAACACAAATTATCTTGTCCCCATTTGTGTTTTGTCTCAAAATAATAAAAAAAAAAAAAAAACACTTACAGTGACCCCATGTTGGCTCTTCTACCTGTTCTTTACATAGCTGGTAGCCCACATTGTGATATGTTGTCCCATTTAGAGCACTGGTAATCCGGATTTGGTAATCTTGAAAACTGTGCATCTGGATCAGGGTGATCCAGTCCAATGTTGCTTTGAAAAACCGGCATAAAATTAA